CTGGGTGTCCGGAGGGCACCCAGGTGTCTGGGGAGGACCCATGGGGGAAACTGGGTGCCTGGGGGGGCCCCAGGTGTCTGGGGAGGGGCCCCCAGGTGTGTGGGGAGGACCCATGGGGGAAACTGGGTGCCTGGGGGGGGACCCAGGCATTTGGGGAGGGGGACCCAAGTGTGTGGGGAGGACCCATGGGGGAGCCTGGGTGCCTGGGGGGACCCAGGTGTCTGGGGAGGACCCGTGGGGGAGCCTGGGGGCCCGAGGGGGACCCAGGCATTGGGGGGGGACCCCCACGAGGGCACCCAGGCCTCCGGGCAGGGACCCAGGCGTGTGGGTGCCCCAGGTCCGTTACCCCGACCGCATCACGTTGATCCGGGGCAACCACGAGAGCCGGCAGATCACCCAGGTCTACGGCTTCTACGGTGAGTGCCTGCGCAAGTACGGCTCCGTCACCGTTTGGCGTTACTGCACCGAGATCTTTGACTACCTCAGCCTGTCCGCCATCATCGACGGCAAGGTCAGCCCGCCCGCACACGCTACGCACATGTTAAGGGCACGCGAGGGGGGGAGAAGGTAGCGGGGTTTGCGTGCCGCGGGGCTGCGCCAGCGGTTTTGGGCTCTGCGGCTTCGTTGCCGCCGTAGAACGCTCTGTGAGCATGGTGAGACGTGTTATGACACGGATATGCTAAACGTGTTAGGACACGCTAAGACACTCTAAACATGTGTTAGGACACGTTAGGACGTGCTAAGCATACGTTAGGACACACAACATGTGTTAGGACGAGTTAAAGACACGCTAAAAGCACGCGTAGGGAGGTTTGTTTATGGGGGCTGTACCCACAGCTTTGTTTTCTGCAGCGTCGTTGCCATCACGGATGGCGCGATGAGCGCGTTAGGTCATGCTGGGATATGTTACCATGCACATAGGGCATGCTAAGGTCACGCTAAGCACACACAGGGGTGTGGGGAGGCATCTGGGGCTCCTTGTGGGGAGGTTGCACCCGCAGCTTCGCGCTCTGCAGGCTCATTGCCATCGTGGAATGCTCCGTGAGCACACTGGGATGCGTTAGGACGTGCTAAGCGTGTGTTTAGGACATGCTCAGACACGTTAAGCACACACAGGAGTGTGGGGAGGCATTGGGGGCTGCATGTTGGGGGACTGCACCAGCAGCTTCGCTCTCTGCAGCCCCACTGCCGTCATGGAATGCTCTGTGAGCACGCTGAAAGATGTTAGGATGTGCTAAGCACGTTAATGGCGTGCTAGGACATGCTAAGGTCATGCTAAGCGTACATGTGGGTGTAGGAAGATCTATTTCGGCGAGCTGTGCCAGCAGCTTCACTCTTTGCAGCATCATTGCCATCGTAGATAGCATGGTAAGCGTGCTGCGATATGTTAGTATACACTAAGCACATGTTAAGGGCATGCTAAGCACACGCAAGGGTGTGGGGAGGTATTGGGTTGCATGTGAGGTGCTGAAACAGCGGCTTTGCTTTTGTCAGCGTTATTGCTATTGTGGGTGGCACAATGAGCACACTGGGGTACGCTAAGCATGTGCTAGGGCATGTTAATGACATGCTAGGGCACAATAAAGTCATGCTAAGCACACATAAAGGTGTGGGGACACATCAGGGGCTGCATGTCAGTGGGATGCGCTGGTAGCTTTGCTCTCGGCAGCCACGTTGCCATTGTGATGGCAGGATGAGCATGCTGGGATACCTTGGGATGTGCTAACCACACATTAAGGACATGCTAGGACACACTAGGACATGTTAAGGTCATGTTAAGCACATGCAGAGACATGGGGAGGCATTGAGGTATGCGCCAGTGGCTGTGCTTTTTCTCAGCATCGCTGCTATCATGGGTAGTAGTATGAGCATCCTGGGGTGCATTAGAATATACTAAGCTCACGTTAAGAACACGTTAGGACATGCTAAGGATGCGCTAAGCACAGGGGTTGTGGGAAGGTCTGTTTGGGGGGGGCTGTGCCAGCAGCTTTGCTCTCTACGGCCTTGTTGCCATCATGGACGGCACAATGAGGGTGCTGGGGTAAGTTAGAATGTGCTAAGCATGTGTCAATGGCATGCGAAGACATGCTAAGGGCACGCTCAGTACATGCAAGGGCCTGGGGAGGCCTCTGGGGCTGCGTGTTGGGGGGTTGCGCTGGCATCTTTGCTCTCTGCAGCCTCGCTCTCTGCAGTCACATTGCCACCGTGGACGGCACGATGAGTCCACTGAGACATTCTAAGCACATGCTAGGACAGGTTAGTGACATGCTAAGGCATGCTAAGGACACATGGAGTTGTAGGAAGGTCTGTTTGGCAGGGCTGTGCCAGCAGCTTTGCTTTCTGCAGCCTCAGTGCTATCGTGGATGGCACGACGAGGATGTTGGGATATGTTTAGGACATGCTAAGGATGTGCTTGGACATACTAAGGGCATGCTTGGACATGCTAAGGACGTGCTAAGCACATACAGGGGTGGGGGATGGCCCCAGGACTGTGTTTGGGGGGGACTGCATGGGGGCCTTGTCCCCCCTGGGGTCCCTTCAGCCTCGCAGCCGGGGGCACAGGCATCGCACACGCTAAGCACACACGTGTCCCTGCAGATCTTCTGCGTGCACGGGGGCCTCTCGCCCTCCATCCAGACGCTGGACCAGATCCGCACCATCGACCGCAAGCAGGAGGTGCCCCACGACGGCCCCATGTGCGACCTCCTCTGGTCCGACCCTGAGGGTAGGTCCTGCACACGCATGTCTGCCCATGTCGGTGCGTGTCCTGCTTTGTGACCCTGCTCACTGAGGGCAGGGAGAGGCCAGGCACCCGTGTCACATCCCGTGTCATGCCCCGTGGCCTCCCCGCTGCCATCGGGGTGGTTCCACCACCCGAGGGTGACACACCTGAGCGTTGTGTGTTGTTATGTAGAGGTGCCAGATTGGGGCATGCAGCTCCTGGTGACACGCGTGTGCCCCCCATGGCGGCACTAAGCTGGGTCACGTGACATGTGCGTGACCCCCCCCATGGCCATATTGGGCTAGTCCATGTGACATGACACACACGGGTCACGTGTTCTCCCACATACTTGGCCTGTGTGGCTCTCGGTGACGCATGTGACCCCCCCAGCCACGCTGGGTTAGTCCACACGACACACGTGTGACTCTATGCCAGCATTGAGCTGCCTCACATGACAAAAGTGACACACGTGTGGGTCACGTGTCCCCACTGCTCCAGTCTGGTCTGTGTGGCTCCATGTGACACAAGAGTAACCCCCCCAGCCGTGTGACGTATGAACATGTGACATGCCTGTGGGTCACATGTCCTCTTGCATGCACACCAACTTGGTCCATGTGGCTCAGTGTGACACGTGTGACTTTTGAGTCACTCAGGGCTGCTCTGTGTGTCCCCACAGCCACACGGGAGTGATCCACGTGACACGTGTAGGTACACGTGATATGTGTGTGTCTCACGTCTCCCACACACACCCCGTGCTGGCCCGCGTGGCTCCGTGTGACCCCCACCCCCACACTGCTCAGCCCCCTG